CTATGTGCAAATAAATTCTAAATAAGAAGGCACAATTATTTTATTTTTCAAGAATCAAGAAGTAGATAAAATCATTTAGATCAAATAAATCCAATCATATAAAAATCTAGAATTGTTTCAATCTTATTAATAAGAAATAAATTAAAAAACTTGCTTAGTATTTAAAGATATTGGTAAAGGTGAAGAATCTGAAATTTATACTATGACATTGACATAAAATTCATTTGAAGAACTTTTCAATGAAGAATAATTGATTCAACCTATCTTCACGGCTTTTTATTTTGATCTTACATACAAAGCAATCATTGATTCAAGTTAGACATAAATATTTATTAAAGGTGAATAGAGTATTGTAGGACATTTCGAAATAGATATTACTGATCATAATATTAAAGAATATAGAGAAATTACTAGCAAAAATAATGAAGAAATAATTAAAGTAATACAGTCAAATGTTGATAAATATTTAAAATATATTACAGGATATGGTACTGGGTTTAGGGTTTTTTACAATAATTTAGTTGCTCTTGAAACAATTGTAAAATAGCTTTCAATGAAAGATAAACAAACTATACCTATCCTTATTTGTAAAAATATGCTCGGTGGAGAATCTCCTTTCGATTTATCAATTAATAATCATCAGCAAAAGATAATTAATCTTATACTTTCAACGATTCTAAAATACTAGGACCACATACTGTTTAACGAGCTGGTAGATAAAAATCTATGCGAATTAATCAAACAATAAATAGACTTATAGGAATATTTTGAAAGTAATCTTCCCAACTATGATATCATTGATCAATAATTCTTAAGTCAACATAATGACGAATAAGAATTGATTAAAGGTATAAATCTGGATCATCCTAAAGATGTACTCTAAAAGTATTATGAATTATTTGGTAAAGAATTGGTTGATTCATAAGAAGAAAGTGACTCTGTTGTGTCTATTGAATATCATTTGATCAACTTGCCAGTCACTTTACAATCTAATCCTCAAGAGATAATGAAGGTGTTAAGTGAGTCTGAAAGGCCAGATTATTTCGAAAATAAGGTAATCTAAAGTATAATCAAGTTTAAATGGAATGAATACACAAAGTCATTCTATTAGAACAGGTTCTATACTTACTTGATATTTATGGCATCTTTTATTTTTGATATCTTCTACTCAACTTATGCTTTTGCAATAGAAATTGATAAAAATTTACAAGGTTAGAAGATTGAAGACTTGGAAACTTAAAATTTGCTCAAGATTTCAACTAAAGTTATATGCTCTATTGTTCTTTTCTATTTCTTGACCTACGAGATAAATTAAATCAGAGTTTAAGGAAAAAACTACTTTAAAGATGGATGGAATTATTTCGATTTTTCTCATATTTTGGCTTTCACATTATATTGCATTTTAGACTTTACTAGTGAAAACCAAGAGAGTCTAATCTTGATAAAAATTCTTGTAATTGTCTTATCTTTCATGAAGCTATTCTTCTTTTTGAGAATTTATGATGGCTTCAGCTTCTTAGTTTAAATGATGGCTGGAGTCTTCAAGGACTTAAAATATTTCTTGATATTTTTCCTAATTTTCATCCTATAGTTTGGAATGATATTCTTAGTCTTATTTAAGGCTTAGTAAATTGATGAATATAATGGAGTAAATAAATTAGCTTATTTTTTGATGGCTTTTAGAATCTCATCTGGTGACTTCCAACTAGATGATTATCATAAT